CAGCTACAGTATTTGGGTAGAAGCAGATGGAGAGGATTTTGAGACTGTGACTTTGTAATAGCAGATGGTAATTTCATCTGTAGTGTATTGAAGTATGAGCGACATAAAATAAGGGAGAGCTGTGTTTAGAATGTCTCTGCTCCTTGAACATTATTACTTACTTGTAAAATAATAAAAGATGAATCTAACACAGTACCTCGCTGTGTTTAGGTAGATGCTTTGTATCATGTCCAATGTTTAAATATTGAGTCTGGTATTATACAAATGAAAAAACCTTTTGAGGATAGAAATGTGGTAGCCGACATTACTGACTTTTTTTTTTAAAGCTGCAGGCTACAAATTTCTCAAACTGATCCGAGATTCACTACCCAGAGAGTTAGTTCATGAGATTGTCAGACTTCCCAGGCTAAGTGCTTGTTTCAGGTTGTTGGTCACTAAAATGCACAGAGTCTGATTTATTAAAAAGTCCAACAAGGTGACTTGCAGTGAAGGGCATGAACTGAACCAATGCAGGTTCTTAAAAAATTACCACTGGGTAGTGCCCACAAACCTGGATATTTGCATTGTGGCTCTGAAAGTAACTTGTTTATTTTACAACAAAATTTAGAAAATTGTAATAGGATGACAGTAATTACACTTTTTTCTAAGTAACTAGCAAAAGTGTGGCCCTCCTAGAATGGGCAAGGCTGGAATGGAGAGAGTATGGGGGAGAGATATGCAGGCACAGTGGTGGTGGTGGCGGTGGGGAAGGAGGCCGCATACAGATGCGTTGCTGAGTTGGTGACCTCGGGGGCATGCAGAAAATGTGCAAAGAGCTGTGCAGCACTATTAAATCATTAAAAACCATGGCACAATTAATGGTATTCAACTCTAAAATCACTGATTTCCTGCTTATGTGAGGTGAGAGTATGTATGTTCTTAAACACTTAGTAGACATATTTTTTCATGTTACTGCATGCAGCCTCTTACCCTCTGCATTGCTATAACATTATAATGTTGCAGTCTGATCACTGGAGAGAGAATAGAGACTTAGGAAAGGCTTCCTCTTGCCTACATTATCTCAGGCTACGCAGTCACTTGACTGGAGCTCAAGGGTTAGGCAGTAATCTGAGTGGAGTTTAAGGACTGGGCAGTCACTTGACTGGAGCTCAAGGACTGGGCAGCCGCTTAAATGGAGCCCAAAGACTGGGCAGTTACTTGACTGGAGCTCAAGGACTGGGTAGTCACTTGACTTGAGTTTAAGGACTGGGTAGTAACTTAACTGGAGCCCAAGGATAGGGCAAAGCACTTGACTGGAGCTCAAGGACTGGGCAGTCACATGACAGAAGCTCAAGGATTGGGCAGTCACTTGACTGGAGTTCAAGGACTGGGCAGTCATGTGACAGGAGCCCAATCACCGGGCAGTCACTTGACAGGAGCTCAAGGACTGGGCAGTCACTTGACTGGAGCTCAAGGACTGCTTTTTAATAATATAAGGTAGAGCTTTCTAGGAAAATACTTCTATTGCTGTACACTATGACATATCAGAAATGTATTTATGTAGACTTGTTAGATAAGCATCACATAGTGCAATGTGGCAGGTGGTTTTCATACGCATGTATTCATTGTCTTATAGAGATAATATTGAAATATTATTTTGAGAGATTGAAAATGTGTCTCAGTCACAGGTCATGGGTCCTCCAACAGGAACTTTCAATAAAAAGAATATCTTGCTGCACTCCTTACCGCAATAAACCCAAAGACTGGGTGGGTGCTTGTAGTGACCACGGTAGGCACCGTGTATAACACAGAACAAGGAAATAATGTCACCAGCACACCATTGTTGTAAATCAATGATCCATTTTAATGGCACATTGCCATCCAATACAAGCGCTTTCGGGGCCGCACAGGGTCCCCTTCATCAGGCTCAGAATGACACATCAGTAACAGATACATCAACCTTATATAGACATCAGACAGTGTGAATAAAAATAAACCACTCCCATAGAAAAGAATGACATCACTGAGTCCCTTCCCGCCATAACTGATTCAAAATTAGAATTACCTCGACTATTCCAGGTGTACCGAGGCGCGCGGAAAGACCGGGCCGTTGTTCGGCCGGAGCGGGTGGTTGCCAAGGAGATGGGACGCTTTTCACAGCCATGAGCGCCGCCCATCTCTAGTGCGCATGTCAATCGTATGGGGCGCAAGGAGGCTTGCGCTCCATCGTCGCTACGCAACGGCCTGCGCGTCTCGTATCTAGGCACAAGGAGGAGAGCTGAGCTGCGGACTGGCATCGCCTTCTCAGTCAGAGGCAGAACGTGTAACATTGCTGGCTTGTGCTTTGGCGACGGGGTAGTGTCAGCACAGTATTCAACTGTTAACAAGGGAAACCTCATACTGTCATGAAGTACCAGGTGCTGCCAGTGGGTAAAATTAAATTAAAGGTTGTCAGGCGCAGACGAGATTAAGCCAAATGGCAGAACGGATTCAGTGGCAAAACACAAATAAAAATAAAAATAAAACAAAAACCATGTATGAACCCTATGACAATAACGGTTATCAATGCACCTAGCTCATTCTGCACGTGAACAAAAATTCTAAACTCATTGAGCATCCATCATTGTCAAATTAAATGCAAAACGAAGGTGGAGCATACACATTAAACCGCAGGAGCTTATCAGCATATATTCACTCCCATCATTGCCATAATAGACCCCAAAATTAATTGCCGGAGTATCCCCAAGGGGAGGGGAAGATACTCATTAACCAGTTGATTTTGATCCGTGTGTGACAACAGTATATCTAGGTATACATTAGTCATAGCACTGTTCGCCTAGAACAATTAAAGGTCAGTAACACAGTTGGAGACCCTATAGTGCTGGACACCTATATCGAAGGTTATCAATTGGTCCCGGTCAAAAAATCTTTTGATTGGGTCGGGTTTGTGAGGGGTATGGGGGGTGGGACTTATTTGAAAAGACTGTTGGTGGAGTTGCTCAGAGCTGCCAAACTTAGTGTGGCCCACTGAGAAATTCAAGATATCAGGGAACACAGGGATTCCTCGTTTGGGTGAATCCCTTTTCTATTTGCTCATGGAATATAGGGGTTTATCTTTCATCCAGAAAGCATGATAGTGACAGATTTGAGTTGAGGCCCCTGCGTTGTACACAATCCAGTGTAAAGATCCAGAAGGCCTCCCTGCGAAGGAGCTGTATAGCCCTGTCGCCTCCCCTGGGATGCGCACGTATCTGTTCGATAATGATTCCCCTAAGTTCGTGGGTTTGGTGTCTATTCTTAGCAAAATGTATTGCAACCGGTTTATTGAGATCGAATGTCTCGTTCTTTTGCATTTTGTCCAGCGTGACCCTGATGTCGCTTCTATGTTTTTGAAAGCGACGTTTAAAGGGTCCAATTGTCTTGCCGATATATACAAGTGAACAGGGACATTTTAGCAAATAAACACAGAAGTCTGTGTCACAGGTGTAAAAGCCCCCAATGTTATACCTTCTCCCAGTATGTGGGTGTGAGAAGTGATCACTACAGATCATTGAATTGCAGATGTTGCAATGAAAACACCTGTAACACCCTACCTTGTTTGACAGGGTGATCTGCTTCTTCCCATACTTAGAACTTGGGTCAGCTTGGATAAGTAATTTCTTGAGTGAATGACCCTGTCTATGTACATGGAGGGGCCTATTCTTAACACATTGTGCGAGGCTTCTGTCTGCATGCTAAGATTAGATGCAGTGGCTTTGTGTATCGCTTTGTTTGTTGTATCGAAAGTATGAATAAATGGGAGTCTTTCCTCACTAGTCGGTACACTCTGAGTTCCGGCGAATTTAATATGTGCTTTACTCAGCGCTGTATCAATAACAGATTGTGGGTACCCTCTTTGGGCAAACCGTTCCGCCATCTGTTTTAATTGAAATGTCCGAACATCCTCATCAGAGCAGATTCTCATCACTCTGAGGAACTGGGATATCGGCAAATTATTCTTAAGATGGTGGGGATGGGCACTATCATAGCGTAGAAGTGTGTTCCTGTCTGTGGGCTTGGTATAAACAGATGTGCTGATCATTCCATTATCAATTCTAATTAAAACATCTAGAAAATAAATTTCTGTAGCAGAAATTACAGGGTTAAAGACAATTCCAGGGATCTCCTTGGCAACAGCCCGCTCCGGCCGAACAACGGCCCGGTCTTTCCACGCGCCTCGGTACACCTGGAATAGTCGAGGTAATTCTAGTTTTGAATCAGTTATGGCGGGAACAGACTCAGTGATGTCATTCTTTTCTATGGGAGTGGTTTATCTTTATTCACACTGTCTGATGTCTATATAAGGTTGATGTATCTGTTACTGATGTGTAATTCTGAGCCTGATGAAGGGGACCCTGTGCGGCCCCCGAAAGCGCTTGTATTGGATGGCAATGTGCCATTAAAATGGATCATTGATTTACAACAATGGTGTGCTGGTGACATTATTTCCTTGCTCCAACAGGATAATGACCCAAAATACACAGATAAAGTCACTCAAGAATGGCTAAAAACAAAACATTGGACTATTCTGAAGTTACCTCCTATGAGACCAGTTCTAAATCCTATCAAACTACTATGAAAAGAGCTGGAACATGCAGTCTGGAGAAGGCACCCATCAAACGTTAGACAGCTGGAGCAGTTTGCGCTAAAATAGTGGGTCAAACTACCTGTTGGCAGGTACAGAAATCTTACTGAGAGCTACCGAAATTGCTTTTTTGCAGTGAATATTTGGTTAAGGGTCCCATAGTTTCTGTCCATTCCACTTGTTGTTTTATTATTTAAAATAAACAATAAAATAAATAATAAAATAAAAGCAAAGCCTGTTTTTTTGTTAAATACGGAATAAACATGATGGATGCCAATTAATTTGGCCAGTTTAAAGTTATTTCAGAGAAAATTGTGGCTTCTTATTTTTTTAGTGGAAGGGTAAAAACAACTCCCCTAGCTTTTTTGCAAAATATATATCTAATAAAAGGGCTTACATGTGTCTCCACATCTCCAACAATGATCTTGCTGTTCGTAAGATACTGCTCCAAGGCCCCAGCCAGCAGGGCATCAAAAGCTTCTACATATGGAACAACACCTGCGGAGCACAGAAAAACTGATTACAAGCCATGGAAAATAAAATATATTTTCTACTAAGACATCATTGGCCTATATGTGATGTATTGACTGTATATTTCATTATCAGAAGATGGTGCTTTTTTTTTTTATCATAGCTACTCTTCTATAACACTTTGTGGTCTCCAACATGACCCCTTCCAGTAGAACATAACATTCTAATACTAATTATTTCTCTTCTTTTAATTGCACTTACCTGAGCTTAGTTAATAAACTTTAGAAAGGGTCTGCTTTAGTGGAAAGTAAGTGTAACCAGAACTTTAAGGAGCAAATTGTTTTATGCCTATCAGAGAAGGTGTTGGAGGGTTTGTGTTACAGTCGTGTCATATGCTCTCCATTGTTTCTCCCATGTTGCGTGTTCTGTTTGCGACCAAAATCGGTTCGCGACCACGTTCATAGGGGTCAGAACAGATTAACCTTATTTATATTGAACCTTCTGATTCCCGACCAATTCGGTCGCGACCACAATCGTGGAACGAATTAAGTTCATGAACTGAGGTACCACTCTATTTAATTTTAGAGGCCATCTGTCCCAGCAACGTCTGGAGATTACAACCATGTCTGAAGTTCTTACACTTATTGCCCTTTTAAAATCAATGTTCCAAGTGTTAGACATTTCTTGCTACTCACCATGTATTATCCCAAGTTTTGTATTTGGTATGGAAGGGATTTCCAAAAGCAATGTTCCCTAATAAGTTCCTAAACTCAAAATATATCTACAGTATATCAAAAAGATTTTTGTTAGTTTTGGATAGAATGGGTAAAGGATAGAATCACTGTCAAGTTTTACTGTTATCCTGGGCCCCCTGTTCTGGAGACAACCTTTAACCAGACAGGATCAGAAACAGAGATCAATAAAACACACACAGAGGTTTATAATTTCCTCTCACTTCCAGTCCTGGGGACAACTTTTTTGCCAGACAGGAAGTGAAGGAATCTCTCACACGGAGCCTCCAACTGCAGTAAAAGCTGACAGGAGTTTTAACCCTATCCAAAACTAACAAAAAAAGTTTTGGCAATAAATACCCTTTAAGGCTTTTCATGAAGAACACCAAGCACTGTCCATATGAAACTCTTGCAAGAAGATTTGTATGGTGGCCTAAACTGGATAAAGAGATTGAAAATTGGTAAATAATCGTGTTTCCCGCTAACCCCCATCCATTAAAAATGGTTCCTGTCTCAAAATGATTGGAAGCAGTGCCAATAAACTTAGCCACAATATTTACTTTCACATAAATTAGAGGACCCCACAACCTGCTAGACAGAATTGTGTGTGACAATGGTACAACGTTAATATCTACTAAATGTAATGTGTTTATAGACAGTTATCTTGTTTGCTTCATTACAACAGCACCACCCCCATGTAATACATGTTCCAAACCACAAAAGATGAGTTAAAGAAAAAGGAGATAGGAATAAAGTGATGGACCTTCTCTTCCATCAGCATTTAACACCATGCTCCAGTACTGGTTGAAGGTTTACCAATGAGCAAGAAACATAGAACCTAGTTGGATTGACTTCACCCCATTTTAAACTCAGGGTTAAAAGGCAGACAAAAACCTAAGTTCTACAAAAATTAGAACACATCACACAAGTAAAGAAGTTTAAACCTGGCTCGAAAATGGATGCTATATACTATGGTACTAGACTAAAATGGTTACAAAATAAAAATATGCTGATTAGCTAAGACATCAAACTGAAGATTCTATCCATCTAAAGACTGCAAATTACTGGTACAGTGGCCAGTCCAGACGACTTAGCTCAGACACCTATTAAACAGGATGGAAATAGCTTCTTCTAAGTGGAACTATCTCATGAGCAATTAACAGGTGATGAGACTGGTCCTGGTATCATGGTACTGGTCCTGGTACCATTTCACAATGCACATGGCCTATCTAGAAGGTGTAGCACATACCACCTTTAGTGGAGTGGCTACTAGAAATTTAGTGATTGCCAGAGATGTAGTCAGTCTGGCTGAATTATAGTTGGCATTTATCTGGTTAATTCCAGGTGTTCTAGCATTGACTGTACCTGCCTGAGTGGAGTGTGACTCTGCTGCAGTGTGGGACAGCCACTGAGGGACACAGTGAGTGTGCAGTTCACCAGCCAATCACCGGGGCTTTGATAGCCAGTGTTGCATGCTGGGACGGGGCATATATAATCAAGGGAATTGCCATGTGCTCAGCCTGGCACCTGCCATGGATTAGTCCAGGTTGGGGTGCTGTCCAGCCTGCCCCCAGGCTAGGCCTGGGGGTGAAAATACTTGTGTGGAAAGTGCTCTGGTAGTCCTCAAGCCTGGCGGAGGCCTTTGCTGTTAACTGAGGAGTACCAGGGAAGCTCATGGCTGCTGGAGGTGCCTGGAAAATAGTGGACCTCAGGAACAAGTCTGGTGTCTCTCCTACTGAAGATTCTGTGTCAATCCCTGCTCATCTATTGCTCAATTATCCAGCTGGGGGTTCCTATTGAATCTACACTGAAATACTAAAAGTGGCTGGTGAATCTGGAGTCTGCCTGTTCCACCCTGGATGTCTAGGTCCCTATACCCTCTCTCCCAGAGTGAATATGTTAATAAAGTTCTTCAGCATCATACTTTTGGACTGGATTTCAGCTCTGTGGGTCATTAGAAGAGGGTGGTTCATGCTACTGAGGCAGCAGGTTGCTATAATCGCTAGACACGTTAGTGATGACCCGGGTTATTCTGGCGGCTCCTTCGGGGGTGAGCACTACAAAGGGTTAATCATTGACTAAAGTAGTTGAACAACTATGTTATCTAGGGGTTAGGGTGAATGTATTTACTATTGCTCCTGATTAGCAGATGGTGCTGTGTTATACCAGTTGCTCTTTAAACACTTCATGGCATTGTTTTACTATGTTGTCATGTGTTCACTTGTTTGTTGTGCATCAGCTCTATTCAATAAATGTTTCTGGAAGCAGCCTGCCTCTCCTACTCACAGCTACAGTCTTCATACATAAAACATTAACAATACAGGATATAGTCAGTAAACCCATGATTGACCACAGTTACTATACTTTTTTGTACTGTCAACTACTATCTGTCATGAACATCTTATGACAATTATATAGTCATGGTGTTGCACAATTAATATTTACATTTGTTGCAATGGAGTCCTTGTCTTCTGCAAGTTAAAGTTTCTACACAAATAAGACTAGTTTATTTTAGGGCAAAGTATGGTTAAAGTGTATGTAAACTCTGGCAATGAATGTCTCTTGGTCTGTTAAAGGAGAACTATGAGGTGAGTGAAAATCACTCAGCCTCATAGTTCTAGCCGACGTGTGACAATGAAACTGTCACAGGTTGGTTCAATAGATATTAATCGATTATTGAAAAAGTTGACAACTTTTTCAATAATCGATTATAATCGATTATGTCGATTAGTTGTTGCAGTCCTAGTTGGATCCAAACAGTAATGTCGGGATCTGTCCCGGCTGCGGCGTCTCAGTATACTGCGAGCTGTAGCTCACGGTATACTGAGCTTTGGGTGACGGGAGGACGCTAGTTTATGTCCTCCCGTTACCATTAGGAGAACTATGGGTAAAAGCCCTGACCCCATAGTTCTCCTAAGTTCGATAAGTGTAAAGAAATACCTGTTGATCATGTCAAAAATTCAGTCATCCTGTGTTCTGTCCACACTTTCTGTGTTACCTCAAAGAGAGTAATTAGCCCTCCTAGCTCTTATATTGGGACTCCAAAATGAATAGTCTGTGTGTTGTGGAGATGGGAGTATGGATGGGTTTGAATAGTTCAGCAAAAGAAAACTTGGCACGACTGACACTAAAGTCCACAAAAACGCTGTGTGTTAGCCCACAAGAGTACGTAGAAGCTGAGTGCATTGCTGACAGATCAGTGGGTATGTTTCTGTACCTGCAGGGTCTTTAACAGAATAAAACATGGGAAAATGTTCATGTATTGCAGAGGTGTACTGCATGTTTTTTTCCATTGCTGATCACTTTCTGAAAGTGATATTTGACTGGATGTTACAGTGACTCACTAGTTTTATTTGTTTCTGACTCACTGACTCACAACAAGCATGCAGATCATGAAATTTAGAAAAAGGTCAGAACTTAATTTTTGCATTCTTGTTTTCTGATCACTGAATTAAAATATTGAAGCCGGAGGGTCACAATGAGAGCCGAATTCACAATAGACCGTACAGCAGCCGAAGGCATACGCTTTGGCTTGGCTGAGTCGAAGTCATAGCCAAAGCGGGGAGTATGGTCTGCCGAAGCAAACCGTTCTACCCGCAAATGTAAACAACTGGACAGTTGTTGTCATTCAATGACAGCCCAGCGTCTTCAGATCATTTGAGGACACTGAGCTGTCACTGAATGACAACAACTGGGCGGAGCCAGCCATGACACCGCCGCTGGCTCTGCCTAGTTGTCATTCATTGACAGCCCAGTGTCCTCAAATGACCTGAGGATGCTGGGCTTTCATTGAATGTCAACTGGGCGGAGCCAGCCATGACACCGCCGCTGGCTCTGCCTAGTTGTCATTCATTGACAGCCCAGTGTGCTCAAATGACCTGAGGATGCTGGGCTTTCATTGAATGACAACTGGGCGGAGCCAGCCATGACATCATTTGACCAACCCATTTGACCAACCCATATAACAAGTGCCAGCCAAATCAAAACAAATAGGTGGACCCAGCGGGGGGGGATGGGAAGGGGGGGCATGGTGTCACAGATAGCTCCACCCATTTGTTTACCAGATGTTGGATCGGCTGAGCCGAACATGCTGAGTATGTACAGGGCCGAAGTAAATTGCCAAACGGTGTTTGAATCACTTCACTTCAGTTCGGTTATTCAATCTGCTGCCTTCGGCAGCTTAGTGAATGACCCCCTTAGTGTTTCCCCTAGATCTTTGCAAATCTTCCATCACAAAGTATCCCCATGAAAATCTTGTTACTACTTCCCGTTATGCTGTACTCAAGACATGTATAACCACCAAAATGCATGTTTCTACTAAATTTTAATATACTTTACCGCCATCAATGCCATTCACAACATCATTTGCTGCTGACTTGGAAAAGTTGGATGAAGCGAGGGCTGTCTCAAGACGAATAACAGCTTTCTCCAGCCTGTCCATTAACCCTTGTACATCTGCCATCTTGCACACCTAGAGTAAGAATGTAATTTGTTATTTGGGTGAAAACCTAAACAGCAAGGTCACATTCATTCATAGGCAATCAATGCTGCAGTCTAAGGTGCTATCCTGCAATGCCCACATCCTGTGGCTAAAAGCCAATGACACATTCTTTTTTTTAACGTATTAAATGTTTATTGTGGTTTTTCAAGGGATAAACAACGGACAAAGGTAGGTTGGTTTAAATAGAGACAGGTGGTGTATTCTTTTGTATAATAGAACGTTTCAGAATTCTGCTCTGTCTGACAGTGCCAGCTAGATCGATCCTAATTGACACTGCCCCAGCACAGCTGTGGAATGAAATTGGTGGAATAATGTATTGTGTACGTTCAGTTTGCTCTCATTGGGTCCGCACATCTAGTACCCAAGAACAAAAATGTAATATACTGCAGCTTACCAGTTGATGTGGTGGCTGCATTGACACTCTTATATATCAGGCTATTTACATTTTCTGCAAGTACAAGTAAACCTGTTGATCCTACCAGAAATCTAGTGTCCTTCTAACTTCTGCTGCACTTAACTTAAATCTAAAACAATGTTATCAGCCTTTTCAGTGCTCTTCTGTAAGTTGCAGAACACCTCCCCCCTATGTTATGGAGATGTGAAAAAGGGAAAATGTTTTAGTCCAAATCAGGAGAGCAGATCCGAGGACAGTCATACACTGATCGCTCTCTCCTTCCACACTTTGAACTAGTGACTTCCTCCCAGCAGTTTGTCACAATCAAGCTGGATGCAAACCAAATTGTGACAAACTGCCGGGAGAAAGTTACTAATATACAAAATGTGGAAGGGAAGAGCGATTGCCCGTATCTATAGAGGGTACAGGCTTTGGAGACAACTGGGAGATACTGTTGGGAGTGTATCCACCATTGCCGATGGGAGACACAGGAGGGGATAAGCATCACTAAGAGAGACCTGACCTCTGTTGATCTGTGGGGTCAGTGGATCTGGTGAGTGTCATGGTTGTCTTCATAGACTGGATCTGATGAGGATTGATGTTTACATTTTAAAGCAGAGGATGTTATTGGCATTTCAGGTGCTGCATTTTCCATTACTTTTGATCTCTTGGACTGTATATTGTTCCATTTATGCTGGCTGCTAAATCGTATAGGAGATTAGCACGGACTTTTACTTGTAATCAAATTATATTTCATGTCATACACCAAGTAATCATTGTTCCTAACTGGCAGAAGTATCGAAGACTTTCTATGCACAATGCTCCTCACCTACATCCACAACTCCTTACTAGGGATATGTAACAGTTTATGCTGTACTCTATTCACATTTGGGCACTGAATGCGAAAGGATGTCCAGGACCCATGTGGCATCCAGGCCATGCTCCCTGGCTTTTGAAATACGCTTGGGGTAGTGTCAGAAGGGGAGGCAATGAAAGCCCTACAGTGCCAAGTATGGCCTTGGCAACATTTGGTGGAACGCAAACAAAGCAAGCACCTTTCTAAGCTATATTGATTCAGTCAGCAATCTCAATACACACTTTCAGGCCTGGCATTTGAAGGGTAAGAATCAGGTCTGACAAATAGTTATCTGGTTGGGAAGTCTATCAGCAACTATCAAGAACACAGGAGGATGCTCTACACAGAGATGGTAGCTGGAAGAGAATTTACAATGGTGTTGAGTTTGTATGTGTTTGTGTGTGGGTGGAAACTATAGGCGCACATTTAAACACATCGCATAGCATTTGAGGTTCAATCAGCATTTAGGGCCTAATTTTTAATAGATCTAGTCTCATCAAAATTAATCATGTCTACAGTGGGTGTCTGTAATAACAATACTTTATCAGTTCTACAACATGACGACCTAAAAAATGTTCTTTTACACATTCAGAAATGTAAAACAAAGTATCAGCAACTTCCTGAGCTGTAATTCATTGAATTCTCTTGTGTACTTTATGTTCTTTCTATTGATGCAAGTGACATCCTGATACATTTGCCAGAAAGAAAGAAAAAACTCTTTGATACATCATATGCCCATTCATATTAATAGCTACAGTATATTGTACTTTACTGTATAACAAAACTTATAAAAAAACTTATAAAAAAAGAATGGAAGTATTCAGCACCGGTGACAAGAAAATAATTATCATTATAAAAATAAATTGGTGGGAACCACAAAAACTTCCAGGTGGACAGAAACAGTAATGAGGGAAGCAAGATCTCAATGTTAGAATATCTTTATTTAGTAATGGCCAAATCTGCCCAGGTTCCATTCACTAAGGGGGTTCATTCACTAAGGGGGTTATTCACAAAAGAGCCTAAGGATCCAGTCTGATCCTTCGGCCGCCTCTGCCCTTGCGTTCAGGGTAACCGAAGGGCTGCTGTACGAGCTATTCACAATAGCCCGTACAGCAGCCAAAGGCAGCAGAGCGGCTCAGCCAGCTGAAGGCATATGTTTCGGCTCGATCGTGCCAAAGTGAAAGCGAAAGCGGAGCCGAAGCGGATAAGCAAATGACAGCTGGGCGGAGCCAGACGAGATCTCATGGCTGGCTCCGCCCACTTGTAATGACAGATCAGCATCCACAAATGACCTTGGGACTCTGATCTGTCATTAAATAATAACAACTGGGCGGAGCCGGCTGTGACGTCATGGCTGGCTCCACCCAATTGTTATTCATTGGCTGGCAGGTGCCGGCCAATAGGAAACTGTCCACACTAGCTCCGCCCAATTGTTTTTGTGTTTATTATTATTATTTGTTCTTTTTTTTTCTCCTTTACTTTATATTATATATATTGTTTTACTTTCCTATTTCCTAAAATCATTTTTCTACTTTTTTTTTGTCAAAAAAGGTATAGGAATCTGGGCACTTTGTCAAAAAAGGTATAGGAATCTGGGCACTGCCTGCTCTTTTCAAGCGGCTTTGAGGACAACACTGAAAATACACAAATCTTTTAAATAACATGCTTGAGAAATGGCTTAAAGCTTTATGTGGTGTTAAGAAACAGTACAATTTTCATGGACAATCTCATACGGCATACACTGGCAATGCATATTTGACTTTAGAATTGATCTTCTTTTACAATTATCTTGGCTTACATACAGCAGCACCCTAATAAGATTAATATCAATTCAAAAAAGAGGCTTTTTGTCAGGTAGTTTTAACATTAAATGGTAACAGACCCTCTTTGACCGGCAGATAGAAACTGGGCAGTAATTTGCTGTGGCTGTCTCTGCTCTCACTGATGTAAATTTTCCTGCTGCTCGCCAATTTCTATCAAGCTGTCCTTAAGAATTAAAAGACCACATATGATACAGCAATGTAAAAGTGGACATTAGCGGGATATTTTTAATGAGGGAGATCTGGCTGAAATGCATTAGCAATGCAGAGTACAGGGAGGTGATTTGACACAGCAGTATAAAATTGGCCAGCAACAGGACAATTTTAATTAGCAAGAGTAGGTCCAAATGTATTTGAAACAAAAGAGCACAGGCTGGGGCTTTAATACAAAAATAAGATACTGCTGAGGATACAGCAGAGTAAAATTGGCCAGCAGCAGGACAGTTTTTTTTTTTTTAGAGATAATAGGCTAAAATGTACTAGAGACAAAGAGTACAGACAGATGTTTTATTACACGAATTAAGAGATAGTAGATTATACAGGAGTGTAAAGCTGGTCAGCACCAGGACATTTTAAATAGCATGACTAGGCCCAAATTTATTGGAGACAAAAAACACATGCTGGGTTTTACTAAAATCATTAAGATACTACAGAGGATACAGCAGTGTAGAATTGGCCAGCAGCAAGATAATAGGCCTAACTGGTATAAATCAACTTATATGCACAGGGATGAGGGGAGTGCGGTGAATGTGAATGATTTAATGTTAGGCTGTTCTTGGGTTTATTTTTTTATTATTTTTTTTTATTTTCAGACAGGATGTCACTGCAAAAATCAGATGGCCAGAAAGAAGGGCACCCCAAACTTAAAAAAGGCTCTATTAACATTCACATTCTCATCCTTCACATTCTCACATAAATTATTCCCACAGCTACCACAGCTACCTCATGTATCATTTCCCCCTCCTCTTTTAGATTGTAAGCCCTCAGGGGCAGGGCCCTCCTTACCATCTTGTCTTGAATTGTATTGTAACTGTAATGTCTTCCTTATATTGTAAAGCGCTGCGCAAACTGTTGGCGCTATATAAATACTATGTAATAATAATAATAATAATTAACATAAAATTAAAAAACACAAATGAAATACAAACCCCAAATACCACCTCCTAAAACAAAAGCCCATTCTTATTAGCCTTGAAGAAAAAAAAGAGTTTGCTGTAGACAGGACAGCAGTAAAAAGCGACCACTGACCTCAAATGAAGCAAAAAATAAACACAAAAAGCTCCCAATAATTAGAAGAAAAAAGGCAGACAGACACAGCAACAAAAAGGCATAACAAGGCAAACCACTGCTCCCCACTGCTCCCTCCTCCAAACTAATGGATGAACTGCTGGAGATGGCTCTATCCCTTGTGATCTTGTACCGGACAGGTAGTTCAGGGGTACTGAGCTGAGAGAGTTGGAGCCATCTATTTGGTTACATGATTTGATTACAGGATGTGTCAATACAGTCCTTACAGGATGTAAAGCAAATATGTTGCGCTCGGTCTATGTGAACCAACTGCACACTAAAGTGTTAATAAACAAATCTGTGTAAAAATTACAACAATCCGTGTGAAAAAATTGATTCAAGTGGATTATTTACATATGACTAGAAGGTTCAACACACAAACATAATAATAATAATAATAATAAAAATCAACACTGGAACCTTCAGAATTAGTGCCAGTGATCAACCTCATTGGTTCGGCATGTATATTTTAAACACGTGAACCTCTGGCTAGCGGTGTAGTAAAACAACCCAGAAAACTAAAATTTAAACCGTGATATTAATTCAAGCTGTGAACAAACTTTGAAAAGGAAGGAGGGGCTCTGTGGTGGCCCTCCAATACTCAAAAAAAAAC